ATTTGCAGGTGTTTTCCATCTTGCAGGAAATACAGTACCTTTAGGTGCCACGTCATCCAAAATCTTCAAAATCAACATGAGTAGTCTGTGAAACTGTTATTAATAGACTGGATTTTCCACAGTGATATCCAGAGAAAGGCCTTAGTCTTGATACCAAATGTAAACGTTTCTGCTTATCAGGAGCCCTGAAAAATCATTCCATAACACATGTTTTTCACCTGGACTGGAGAAGATGTGACCTCTGCAGTTTTGCCTCCATTCCCTTCATTTGTATCAAGGAGTCTTTGGGAAATCAGGGGAGACAATGCCAGAATAATACTTACTTAATCAGAGTGAGAGGTGTTCCAAGTTGCTTTAAATGTCTTGATTCCTATCAATTTCACTGGAATTATTGACTGAAAAGAGAGATCCAGAATTCAGCTCAGAGTCTGTTTTACCTTGCAGGTGGGGACATGGGATTTTGCTCCAGAATCATGCTGCTCAGAATCAAATTCATGATAATTTCTGATCATCAGAATATCTTCTCCTGTTTGTTACTTAGAAGTCTTGGAAAAATCTTTTGATGTGGACAAACAATAATAATATGTTTCCAGTATCATCAGTCTAGAAATTGTCTTTGTCTAGGTCCTGGTCCCTATCATCTCTAATAATGTAATATAAGAGCTTTTTCAGCACATTATCTAGAATACAGGTCCCCAAGCTATGGGTCATAGATTAACATTCAGGGCCCAGGTCAGCCCGCATGGGGGCAGGGAAGAAATGCCACTCTGGCCTTAGGTCTCAGCCCGACCACCACTTCCTTCCTGCCCCCAGCCTCAGCCCTAGCTGCAGTATTGTTCTTTCCCTTGACCACAGCTACATTCTTGGGCCCAGACTCACCCCCCAGCTGTGACATCATCTCTGCCCCACTTCAGCTACAGACTATTTCCTGGGAGTAGACAGAGCAAGAGGAGTGTGACCATGAAAAGCTTGGGGACCCCGATCTACAAGTAGACAGCAAGAGTGTGTTGAGTCACTCTACAGTGGAAGACCTAGTGCCAACTTGGAACCTGAACTTAGACCTCGTTGGGTTATTGAAGCCCTCTTTGAAAGCAGTGGACAATTGCTTTTTTAAAATTTTTCTGTGAAAATAGCATTCTCTACTGTCATAACATTTGCAAGAAGGGTCAGTGAGCTTCAGACTGTTATGGCTGACCTACATCTTACATTGTTTATAAGGATGAAATTTTCCTTGACCTTCATCTTTCCCAACATGTTAAACAGTTATTATGAGAATCTGGCAATAAATCTGTCAGCATTCTTTCCAAGACCACATCCCATTGATAGAAAACTTAGTTACATTATTAAATGTGAATAAAGCACTAGCTTTCCACTTCAGTAGATCCAAAGAATCCAGAAAATCTCCCATGTTTTTCATTGCCTCTTGTCACAAGTTATTTACTATTGTGGGCCACATATGCTGCTTTCTATGTGTGTGTTAAGTGGGCTGCATACACACACACTATATATACTACCTATATGGCCTTGAGGATATCAGATGGGCCCCAGCTGTGTGCTGATTGTGCTGCAAGTTGAGAACTATTGGTCTATAAAGATAACTATTAGAAAAATACTTGAAAAACAACAAATAGTCTTGCAGCACCTTAGAGACTAACAAAACATGTAGCTGGTGGTATGAGCTTTCGTAGGCGCAACCCACTTCTTCAGATGAACATCAGCACTGCCCATCCAGATGCATCAAGCTTTCCATTGGAAGAATGTTATAATTTAGCAGTGTACTTAAGATGGCTCATTCAATTAGAGACAAGATCACTTGAATTATATGCTATAGACATATTCGTGGTAAACATATGACATGGCACTCAGTACATATGTTAACTAAGATTTACTTTTCCAACTTGTGTAAACCGACACCAAGAGCAAGATAATATTACAACAAAGGCAAGGTAATATTGCAATCCTTATTCAACTAGCACTCTTTAACTCACCATTTTGGGGAGGAATATCACTACTAGTTGAAGTCCCAAAAGTGGGGATGTGAAGAGGTCACTCGAAGAAACCTTTCAGTATGTGGAGTTTTTTTGGGAAAAGCCTCTGCACGTACATGCTGCCAGTCTGTTGTCCCCTCTTCCCAAGAGATCCGTTGGGCTACATCTACACCACGGAATACCTTGGGTATCCCGAAAAAGCTAGTCCACGTCTTAAGAGCAAGTCCGTTATATTGAAATATAACGGGTTTGCTATTCCAACATCCCTGTAAACCTCATTGCACGAGGGATAAGGGACATTTCAGAATAGCGCCTTATTTCAAAATAACCTAGAAATAGAACTTCAATAAATTATCTGTTATTTCTGACACATCAGAACTCCTTTACTTAACCAGGAAATGAAGACTATAGATTGGAATCAGTTGACGACCTAGGTGTTTCACCACCCAGTCTGGAAAAACCAGTCTGGAAAAACCTTTTTTGATGCCCTCCCTCTCCATCCCAAGTCCATGTAACTGAGGTGAAGAGTAGTGAGGCAGCACCACCTAATGCTCATTTGTCATTCTTGGAAATTTGGTCCTCAGTGTGACCACTCTGATATCCTGCCTGCCTGGACTTGAATATTTCCTAACGTTTAAACATAAACTCATTTGACCTGTTACACATAGTCAAAATTGTGACATAGTAGCAGAAATCCTTTTTCATATATTTCTATGAAATAGTACATGAAGTGTTGTTAATGCTCCGATTTTGGTCAGATGGCATACAAGGATTTAAAAAAACAGATTTGTCATTTGCTAAAATGTGTTAGATCCCCAGGGTGCAGTTTGTGAAATCCTACAGGGAATTTTGCAGAATTGGCAGAGTTCATGCAGAGCTGATGCTTTAAGTGCTGTCTATAGTATACCCTGCCAATTCTAGTAATTTGTGAGAGTAAGTCACACTTTCCAGTGGAGGTCACAAGAATTTGAACCTGTCTCCTCCTATCAATATTGAATCTGGTTGCTTGCATTCCATAATGGAACATATGGTATCCTTAATCCTATAGTATCTATTCTGCTGCCCCTGTCTTCAAAGATAATAGACATTTAACCGTGTAACTGATTACATGGGTGTGCAGGCAGGGACTGCTCCAGCCTCACTGCTCCCCCACCCCCACGGCTTCTGGCCCCCATGTGGGGGATGCCGCTGCCTAGTCCTAGCCTAAGTGGGGAGCCTGGCGGGGCTGCTCTTGCTTCCCAGATAACTGTTTAACTGATTACCTGTTAACATCTCTACTATTGGTTTTATTAAGTATTCTCTGTAACATCTCAATCTCTTACATAAAAATACCTTATTCTGTAGAGATTCCACAATTTTTTATTAATTTAGAATAACAATGAATAAGTCTGCATAGTCCATTAAATACACTTTGTGTGTGAAAAACTGAACACTGCAACCATCTGAAGAAATGGTTTTTGTTCTTAACTGAAACACAGTAAAGCCTCTGTTGCATCTATCTATCTATCTATCTATCTATCTATCTATCTATCTATCTATCTATCTATCTATCTATCTATCTATCTATCTATCTATCTATCTATCTATCTATCACATTTTCAGTTTTGTCTACTTTTTCCTTATTAGTGAAGACATTTTATATGTGAATCAAACCCTTTTTTCCTCTGGAACCGAATAATAATGGAGACATGACTAAGAATGTATTTCCAGCTCAGTTACTTGAACTTTCTATAACCCACAGATACCACTAATGCTGACTTGTAATGGAGACATTATCATTTATTTAAATCTCGATTAGGAAACAATTATAAGTGGGGTTTTAGCATGGCAGTAAATTCATGTTGCTTTTAATTCGTACTGTAGATTGAGTGGATAAGCTTACTGATTTTAATTAGGGGGAATTATAATGACTTCAGTTGGCTGACTCATCACTGCCAGGGTAGTATCTTGTATTGTTTCTTCATGACATTTATTATTTTTTTAGGTAACTAACAGCTTTATTTTATGATTAAATTTTATTTTTCCCATTTTAGCACACAATTCAGAATCAATTACAATTGATATTAGATCTGTCTTTCTTTTGTATTAATAAAAAAGGAGCTTTACAAAATAAACCAACAGTTTAGCAGCACTACACAGCTATACCCTTTATTTAAAAATCAATTTCCAGAATTGCTCTGAGTAAAGTTCAGGAGAGAGATTTTCACATTATTTATCAGTGTGGATAGGATAATTCCCTTATTTTGCTTATTACTGCTACATACAGTTGTTTTCAATGTTGGATGCATTTTTTTAATCTGTATTTTGAACATTGTAGACTTTCAGATGTACTATCTTCCTCTGTTTTGTTTTCTTCTTTTTTTCAATTGCCTTTTTAAAAAAAACACTTTCCTGTAAGATAAGATACATCTGTAAATCTCTCCTCCCTCAAAAAACTAAGAAGGAATGAGAGAGAGAGAGAGAGTGTGTTTTTAAAGCAGGTCATTATATTTGAATGCAGCAACAGGGAGTTTTATCACGAGTTGTACTTTAATACTGAACTATTAAACCTTCAAATTATGCTATGTGATTCCTTTATTAACCTTTCCTGAGCTAATGTATCTAATACTTAACAAACATATGACATGGAGAGCAGATAACCTGTCTTAAGAAAGCTGAGAGAATATAGAGGTGAAAAAAATACATCAGACATTCTCAGTTATTTGTATTTTTTCTTTCCCTCGGCAGTGGATGATCCAGAGCCCTTACAAAGTAGCAACTTTCTTTGGGTGCATTGGAACAGATAAATTTGGTGCGATCCTAAAGAAGAAAGCGGAGGAAGCTCATGTGGATGCTCATTACTACGAACAGAGTGATCAGCCAACAGGAACTTGCGCTGCCTGCATCACTAGTGACAA